CCCCTCCTTCAGAATGATTGTCTATAATTAAGGAGGAAACCAGAAAATAATAACAGGGTTCTCTTTTGCCTTTCTAATGGCTTTCCTATTAAGTATGTCTGAAAAAGCTACTGAGATGTTGATTTCCCACGTAACCAAAAGAAGTCAGCCATTATATAATTACTTCTTTTTAAGGACCACAAAGAGAAACGTATGAGAAATGCTTTCAATGGGCTCAAGACACCAAGAAGCACAAAGAAGAAAATTCCTTTCCAACAAAAAAAGCAAGGAATAAATTAGTTATTAAAGAAATGTCTTTGCCGACAACCTTGAGGTGCCAGTGCCTATCATGTGTGGTGTGGTTGTTGGAGGTGTGATTGTGGCAGGAAGAGGAGGTTGGGAGGGAGGCAAGGTGGAAAAGGGCAGGGGGCTGTGGGCGGTGTAATGGTATTTGTGCCTTTTAATTAAATCCTCACTTATAAAAAGAGTCCTCACTTATATTTTCTCTACTGGAGGAGACCAAGGCGTTCACAGGCTGAGACTTGATTCGGATCCCTGGTGATGTCACTGCTGTTAGTCATATTTATTGGGAAGGGGTGAGGTCCATGTTCTAAATGCCCAAATTTTCAACTACCGGCTTATTACTCTAATGGGTGCCTGAGGGATTGTGATAAATACATGGTGGGATGGGTTTCCTTCCCCCTTCACTGCCTTCTTTTCTTTTCTCCTTCCCTCCTCCCAGACAGAATAAAGAGAGATTTTGTTAGTATAATTAGCTGTTGAAGTTACTCAGTGAAAGGTGGCCAGTATTAATAAGCGCAAGGTTTGTTTGTCTTGTAGATGTTTCAATTCTGAAAAATCTGAGGGGTAGAGATGCCTATGTAACCCAAGGCCACATGCTATGAATGGCTGGGAATTCATTTCCAAATTCCTCTATAATTTCCTCCCTGGTGATCTGGGTTCCTCCTCTTCAGGTCTCGTTACTCCTGGACCCCAATATAGTCCTTTCAGGGTGGGCATGATTGTGTGCCAAGAAAAGGAGAGTTCACCCCCTTCTACAGTGGCCTCACTTTGTTCTTGGAGTCCATTTTATGCTTTACTCATGTAGGAGTTGCTTCTCCTTGAAGGTAGATTGATAAGTAGGATGGGGACAAACTTGGAATGACCTCAAGAAGTGGTGGGGTGGGGCCAATGATTGTCTTGGAACATCTCCTTAGCATCTCGGATCACATTGTAGTGGAAAGAGCCTGGACTGGAAGACCTGGGTTCTCATTCTAGGACTAGCCATTTAACCTCCTCAAATCTCAGTTTCTTTCTCAGTCAAATGGGTTGGGGGAAGAGTAAACTATTTAGTATTTAAAATTTCTTGTAGTTAAAAGTAGATTGCATGAATTAGCTGCATTAGTCATGCAATAACGGGATATTAGAATAAGAAGAATATTTAGAGGTTATTGGAGATTCCATGGTCCAAATTCCTGTGAAGAAAGTTGTCTTCTGTGCAACATCTCTAATAGGTGACCATCCAGTAACAACTGGAACATTCTAGGACTAGGAGCAAATTGCCTCACAAGCAAACCATTTGAATTTTTTTAACAACTCCATCACATGGAAAAATGTGCATCCCTGTAATATTCACTCATTGGCCTAATTCTTGCTGTTCCGGGAGTCCCATTGTGATGGTTAATTTTATGTGTCAATTTGGCTAGGCTATGGTACTCAGATATTTGGTCATACACCAGTCTAGATGTTGCTATGAAAGTCTATTTTAGATAAGATTAACATTTAAATTAGTAGACTTTGAGTAAAGCAGGGGTTAACCTCTATAATGTGGGTGGGCCTCATCCAATCAGTTGAAGGCCGAAAGAAAATACAAACCAAGGTCCCTTCTGCCTCCAGACTGTCTTTGTACTTGAGCTGCAACAACAATTCTTCCCTGAGTCTCCAACCTGGACCCTACCCTGCAGAGTTTGGACTTGTCATCTTCCACAATCACATAAGTCAATTCCTTAAAATCAATCTCTCTCTCTCTCTCTCTCTCTCTCTCTCTCTCTCTCTCGTTTATTTCTCCAGGGAACCCTGTCTAATACACCCACGGGCAATATGTCAGGCCTTCAAATATTTGGAGGGGGTCTTCATATCACGCCCTATTAAACTGAATCTTGAGAATGGGTGGATGGTTTGATGGAGCTGTTTCTGAGCAAATAAGAGCAAATTTACCTCTGGATTCAGGAGGAGCAAAGACAAAATGCCGAGAGATTAAAGAGAAAATAAAGAATGCCAGATACTGAAGGTGTTAGCACAGAGCTTTGCAACGACTAGATCCTCCTTTCACGAGAGCTGGTACGATTAATAAAGAAAGACGAGGCCAGGAGAGGCAATCTTCCCCACCAGCGTCCTCTAACATTTGTGGAACTGGCTGGGCTATCACAATATTTGCTTTCACGCTTGGGAGATAATTGGCACTTAGCTGTTACAGCAGCAGTAGGGAAAAAAAAGCCACGAGGAAGAGGGTAGGTCTGGTTCTCATCTGCTAGATCCGGCACACGCCTTGCGAAGGAAAACTAACAGCTACGGGATGGCTCACTGCCTGGACATCTGTTGTCACCCTGTCTGCTAGCTGCGCTTTCTTCCTTAAGCATGAATGAGGTGACTGAGGGGGAACTGGAAAATCTTTGCAGTGTGAGAGCCAAGGCCAGCGTCCCTGAGGCAGCACGGAAATCTGCCCGCGGCCTGATTCTTTGTGTGGGAGCTCATGTACCGTGGAAGGCTTGTACCAGGAATGGGAACTGCGCCTGTTCTTGCTCGTGCTTCCCCGGTGGGCTCTCCCTGCCCCAGTTGTGTCCATGGTACGAATACTCTGAGAAGATGACAGAAAAACAATGAAATCAAAATCTGACAAGCCCACCTCTCAAGCACAACTGTTTTCAATTTTTTTTAGTTTTTATCCACCTGCAGACATACTTCAGTGTCATTATAATCAGTGTATGAATAGAATTTTGTATTGTGTGTTTGTTTCACTTAACGCTCTACGATAAACATGTTCTTGTATTGTTTCTCTTCATCAGTATTATTTTATAGCTGTAATATTATGGTATTTCAGTGCTGCTGTACCACGGTTAGGATAACCATCGCTCATTGTTAAACATTTCCAATACTTGTTATAAAAAAACCCTCCAACGAATATCTTTTTGTGCATAGCGTTTTTTCTTCTTTTGAACAATTTCCTTCAGCATTTCCAGAGAGTGAGTCAAAACGTGTATTTTTACGTCTTGATTTACATTGTTATATCGTCTCCTAAAAGGATTTGCATTGAGATAAATGACAAAAACAGTGTGCAAATGTGTCAGTTCTGTGAGAATGTTGCCAGAGTGGGTATTAATTATAATGAATATAAACTTATATTATAGTGTAGTTTTCTTTTTTTTTTATTAACAAAGGTAATATTTTTTATATGTTACTTGCCAGTTACATTTCTTCTTGTGTGTGTTACCTGTGCCTGCTGGGGTCTATTGGGGTACTGATTTTGACAAATTAATGTAACTGAGCTCTTTATATACTAGTCATAATTGATAGAAATAATTCTCTAGTGTATTATTTTTAATTTTGTCTTTATTATTTCTTTTTCTATAACAGTTGAATTTTTCTTAATCTTAATGGGCTTTCCAATTCTTTATTGTCTTATTAAGAAAAACCCTTTAATCAATCCTGTGTTGTCGTGTACTTGTTTTTTCTTTTTATCTGGGACTTGAACTTGAATATTGCCTAACTTCTGAGAACGTTTTGATATTCAAGTTTAGTTCTGGTTCAAAGTGGTTCTGGTTACCCCCAAACTCAGCCAACCAACAAACCAAAAAATTGAAAAATAAGCATTGGCTCATTGTGTAATTCAGAAGATGCAATTAATAAGTCAGTTTCTGAACTGGTGAAACATGGTTCTTTTCCATTTTTTGTTCGTCTGAATGGCTTCAGAATCTTTCATATGTGCTCCATATGTATTCTCCCCGAGGGGAAATATCTTAGAAGGCAGGGTTTATGTGCTCCATTTACTTGGTGTTGCATTCTCTCCCCAGCCTGAATAATTTCCAGCTGTATTGCCGGGGACGCCCCTCACCCGTCTGGGTCAAGGCCTGTCACTAGCCCTGAAGCAACTATTGGTTTAGGCTTCCATTCTGACCAGTTGGTTTGTGGCTTGCCTCCCTCCCACATGGCAGCTGTGAAGTTGGACGGGAACCCTGACCCAACTTGGTGGGCTTCTGTTTGGCCCTCCTCTTCTCTTCCGGGTTGAGGCCAAGTGTCTGCTCTTCACAGGAAAGGCTGTGGTTAATTTGCAAGTGGTCTCCAGGATGGAAGGTTGGGAGACACTGTCCTATAGCGTGTTCTGCTCACAGCGACTCTTTAGTAAGTGGTGTCACTCATTTGTTGACAATCTGGGGATTCTTTTGTGTTTTAACCTGCAGACTTTCTCAGAATCTAATCGGAGAAGGACTGAGTAAGGCAGCAGGAGCTGTGGTCCAGACTGAAAACAGGCTCCAGAAGGGTTCTACAATTCAGGTTAAAATGTCCGGGGGCTGGCCCCGTGGCCAAGTGGTTAAGTTCATGGGCTCTGCTTCGGTGGCCCAGGGTTTCGCTGATTCGGATCCTGGGTGCAGACATGGCACCGCTCATCAGGCCATGCTGAGGCGGCGTCCCACACAGCACAACCAGAAGCCCTACAACTAGAATATACAACTATGTACTGGGGGGCTTTGGGAAGAAGAAGAAGAAGAAGAAGAAGAAGAAAAAAGAAAGATTGGAGACAGATGGTAGCTCAGGTGCCAATCTTTAAAAAAAAAAAAAAAGTCCGACACTGTAGTAAGTAGGGCCCAGCGAAGGCTGGAATTAGTACCTAATGTCTGGTGGGTGAACACAAAGACTCTGGGTTCTCTGGGGTAAAATTAGTCATTGATGGGCAGGTTGCTGAGTCATGGTTGTTGACTGAGTGGGAAGTGGGGAAGAGGAACTTCAAGATGAAGCAAGATTCAAGGCACTGGAGGGAGCAGGAGTCTACAACCAGGGGTGAGGCTGTCAATTGCGACCCAGATAAATGGTCTGGGTTCAGAAAGAGTCTGACTTTCAGCAGGGAACTGGGATCAGTAGGACCCCAGGAACTCGATGGAAGTAGAGCCGGTTGATCTAGAAGCCCACTGGAAAGGTAGGAGGACAAGTTGGTGCTCATAGCAGCTCACCCAGGAACTCTGGATAGCAAGGCTAAAAAGCTGCTGCATGGGGTCTTGCCCTGCTTCTCTGCCAGGCTGTCTGTCTTGCTGATCTGTCCTACTAGATTTTTTGGCAAAGACTCAGACTCAGGCTCCTGGGGAGCATTTCAGCTCCGAGCTTCTTAGATGAAGCTTCAAGACATGCCCTTCTTCCCAGACTGGGTGATATGGCCTGCCTAGGTATGCCCACGATACTCTGTGCAGATCTATAACATTTTTTATCATCATCATCATCATCATGACCTGGTTTTCAAAACAATGTTTATCTATGTAGTGTCTCTAACATACAGAGAAAAAGCAAAAAGAAAATATATATATATATATACCAATTACCCATGTATATAACATCCAGATTTAGTAAATGTTAATATCCTTTTTGTTAGGTTTTATAAAGAAATAAAACGCTACAGATACAGCTAAAGTCCCACCTCTCCATCACACTCCCTTCCCTCTTTCTCTGGACGGAGGTAAGCACATAATGACTCACCATTTTCAGGATGTGAGTCTCTGGAGTGTGTGTTTTTGGAGAGTAGCACCATATCTAATTCATCTTGAATTTTTAGCTAATAGCAGTGCCTGATGCAAGCTAGAGATAAATAAATATTCAAACAATGAAAGAATGAATGAATGGCAAAGATTGTTTATTACTATTATTGCTATTAATTCTTCACTGTACCTGATCGGGGCTCTATAAATGTTTGATGAGTTGGAGAATTAAAAAAAAATCTTAGTCTCTTACTAGGAATAATTTTCTTAGTTTTGTCATGTTCTTTTCTCCCTCATGTTGACGCATAGCATGCGTTTGCTGCTAGCTCTTATGAAAAGGTAATATTTAGGCATCTTTAGGCTTTGTAAATATGTGACATAGAAACATGATCCACCTTGAGGAACTTACAATGTATACCAAGACCGACCTGATTTCCTCAGAATTAATTCCAGATGCACAGGAGGAAGAGGGAAGGGAAGAATATGTGTGAAGGCATATGATGTATCAAGGAAGAAATCAACCAAATTAATGTCATTAGAAACTATTTGCATTTATTTTGAGTGGAAAATATTCTAGACTACTATTTCACATGACCTCTTGTCAAGAAATGCCAGCCTGGAGAACTTGATACACAGAGATGTGGAAATACACACACACACACGCACACTCACACCCACAGCCTTCATTTACTTTGTCTCTTCTTTGGTGTGCGGCTCTGTGAATCTCACAGGGAACTTGTAAGGACTGGGATGTGTAGTGTAGAAGAACTAGAATTTTAGCTTTTATTATAGGAAGCTTCTCACGATAAATTAATACAACCAACGACACAACATGCACATTTTTCTGTGGGACACTGACAGTCTCTTCCATGCTTCCTCGTCTTCGTAACCACCTGTTTTCTTGGTTGAAGAATATCGATGTTTCCATACAGTTATGGAGCAAAAAGTCTTCGTTTTACTCATTTTTCCCTCTGAATGAGTGATGCTTTTCAAAATGAACATACTGAACAGTAAATTATCCTCCCATTAAGTGCTTAAATTCTAGATGGCTGAGCCAAACCTTCTACCCACCCCTTTCCCTGGATACAGTCTAACGAGCCAGCTACAAATTCCAGATGATCAATTTACTTAGCTGTGATGGTAATTTACAAAACCCAGTGTTTTGCTTCAAAGCCACTGAGAGGCAGTCTTGAATGATAGGCTATGCTTCAAGCGTTCTTTGGCAAGAAGCCTTCTCCTTGGGGTCTTTCATTTTTCATGGTTTTGGTGTCCAGCTCCAGCAGTTCTTGGTATTAGAAAGGAGCCCTCCTCTGTTGGTTCCATCACCATCACTGCTTCCACTGCCACCACATTTACCATTAGTACAATGTTTCTCCATATGAAATGCAATTATTGCCCAGTACGTTTTGCACAATACAAGTGACCATGAGGAAGAGGGATCCATGGTCATACTCATTAACTCATTTATTAATTAATTCAACATTTACCCAGCACCCACTATGTTCTAGGCACTATGCCAAGTACTAAGGATTAAAAGATGAATAAGAAACAGTCACTGCCCTCACGGAGCTCACAGTCTAGCAGGAAAGACAGATATATTAAAAAAAAGAAGGCAGTCCAATGGCCTGTAATAGAAACAGGGACAAGATGCCACCAGTAGGTCTGAACTGGTCAGGTAGCTTCTGAAAAACATAAGGAGCCCTTCCAACAAACATGTTTCCTCCATCCTTATAGTCCACGGGTGTGTAATGTTTGTCTACAAAGGTTAAATGAATGCCCATTCACTATGGAAAGGGTTTCCAGGAATTCCAACTTCCCAATATTCCCTTCATGCTCCCCTGACATAGTAGACTCCAAATGAATTGGATTGACTCATTATCCCCAAATACACATTGCCCTGTCTCCTTTCTGCTCACGTTCTTTTGTCTTCTGGGAATGCCTCGTCCCTATGGCTTTGTTTTCAAATCTTACCAGTACTTCAAGGCCAGGCCCCCTTTACTCCAAACTCCTGGAGCACTTGGTGCTATTCACAGGGCATAAGCATGGAGCAAGCAGCCTTGCTTGAGTGTTTTAGGTCCACTTGAGTCTCCACAGTGGACTGTAAGCTTCGCAGGAGCTCATAGTCCTTTGGAGAGCATAAAGTGCCATATGCAACTTTTGATAACAACCTGTTTACAGAATAAGAACATTTTGATACCCAGGAGAGAACATTCAGTTCATATTTCCTGGCTGAGCTGTTATCAGGAAATCCCCGAGACTCATACTTTGAATCTCATCACCCTTAACGTGAAGGATATTTACAAGCCTAATGACAAAATCTCATTGTCTGGAGATATGACCTGGAGGGAGATCAAAAAGCTTTCATTCTGTGTTCTATTTCTTTAGGAAATAAATATTCCAATTAATTTTATGCCAGGCTAGGGGAAAAAAGTTTCTAATTAGATTTTGAAAAGCCTCCAAACATAGGTGTCGACTCAAAGAAGTAAAGTCACATGCATTGCCTTGGAATTCACTTGTCACTAGTGTGACTTATGCAGCTGTGGCAGGATCATTCTATCAGCCATGGGGACCTTTATTCCTGTGGCTTGGTGGGAGAGGCTGGTCAACAGAAGCAGGATCTTTCATCCTGTAGATCCTGGATGTCATCTTGGTTGTGATCTTGTTGGGATCAAGAGATCCAGGTCCCTAATACCTATTAACCTCACAGGGACTTGGTAACTTTCCTTTGAGTTGGCGTTTTCATAGTTAGCATAGTAACAATGTCTAATAAATCACAATGAGGAATCAATTTCATTGTGGAATTGAAAGAGAATACATATCATTTTTAGCTTCTGAGTCTTACAATTTAACAGAAGACAAGAAAAACACACGTTCCGAAGACGTGAAAACAAAGAACAGACACCCATAATCCCATACAGCTTTGATGCTCTGCTCTTTGCTCCTGGCTGAGCCTGGTGGTCACTCAAGTCAGTGTGGTCTGGATGCCTGGGACTTTAGCCAGGGACCATCTTCATCTGGTACTATGATGATGTTCGACTCCACAGATAGTCCCAGTTCTGAGGAAACCAAAGGGATCACGGCACAGTAATGGGTTCCAGCTGGTATTGTGTTGCAGAAATCTCTTGGTTGATTTTATTGGCATTTATAGGACATACCCAAGAGTTGGGAGTAGATGTAGGTGAGACAGATATCCGGGTGTCAGCAGCCACGATGGGTGGTGATGCTGATCAGGTTGGGTTTAGATTATCTCATAACTAGATGTTAGGATGACGGTCCTGGTCTAAGCGGAAAACATCAGCAACATTAGAACAAAAATCCACTGATTTAAAGGGTCAAAGCATAAGGGCCAGGATTCCAGGCAAGGAGGTTAAGAGGTGAAATCTGGGTTGACAGCTGGAGAGATCCTTCAAAGATTTCACTGAGGTGGTAAACTTTTAACAGGGTTTTGGAAGAAAGAAGGAATACATCTTTATCAAGAGGATGAACACATGTGAAGCAAAGGAAAATGGTGAGTGATTCCTATCTGCTGAGTAAAAGACTGGTTCAGGATGCTGCTCTGTCCTTCTGGGGAAATCTGAGGCATTAGCCCTGGTGCTACGAGACTACCCAGAAGTCAATGGGTGAGGGTGGCCCTGTCATACTAATAACTGGGCATTCACTTCTCATTTCCAAACCACTGTCGGGATTATTTATTTGTCTTCCTTGGCGGTCAGCAAAAGTTGACAATCCCCCTGGCACGGCATAGTAATGAGGGAGTCCTGAAAATCTGTTGCATTTTAAAAATTGTATTTGAAATTCTGAGATATTTTAATCAGTTTAGAATCAATCTACCTCAGAAAAAGAGGATGCAAATTTGAAAATCATGCCATTGTAGCTCCTTAATTGCTAATTATGCTATAGGCAAGGAAATAGTTAGGCAGTGACTGTTAGGATGAATAATGACATTAAATGAAACGCAAAACAAATCCATACCAGTTTTATTGGATAGGAAGTAAGAGACAGAGACAGGCTGAAAATTTACCCAAATCTGATTAGGGAAATAAATCCTCAGACAGAGAAATGATGGATGATGGTGAGCTGATTAACTTGAGCCCCATTGGGAGGAAAATGGGAGAGAATGCACCACAGACTTTCAAAGCTGGAGAGGGTTTGGATATTTAGTCCAGTTATGCTCATTTTCACAGATGAGAAAACTGAGGCTTAAAAGAACAGACAACCTGACAAAGGTCCTACCAGCTAGGAAAGGACAGAGTTTGAACTTGAATCCACATCTTCTGGCTGTTGAGAAATTTGAGGCAATTTGATTCATCGCAGTGCTCAGCCAGTTGACAGCCCTGCCTACAGGAAGTCCTCAATATATATCTATCAGGCTAAAGGAACCAGTTTTCCTTGCCTTCTAAGTCCCTTTGTTACCCTGTCAGACGCTTGGGTTACCAGTAGGAGAGCAGCTAACACCACCCAATGCTGATGTACCATCCTGCGCCCTTTATTCTTCTCGGCTGTGGCAGGACCCCGAGCTGGGTTTTGGTTCCCTTGGTTTTCAAATAAATCTCTCAATCTCCAAGTGGACTTTTTTGGCTTGGTTCCATGGGTATCTGCCTCGCAGAGGACTAAGCGCGCCTGAACTGCCATCAGCTCAGAGAGGAAATGTGGAAACCAGCAGCTCCTCTCCGCCTCACCCTCACCTGGGCCCACGTGGCTTCTGCCGAGGTCAGAGCTATCACTTCCCCACAGCCTGCGGCCAGGGAGGCGTCAGTAACGCTTGTCTTTCTGTGTCCTTTATTTTGCACATGGAATCAGTGCTAAATTCAGATTCTTCTTAAACTACGCATTCCATCACCCTATCTTCTATTTCTTAGGCTGCTGCCTTAAATCAGGAACTAATTGTTTTCTAAACAACCTCTATTGCCACTGACATGTAATTCTCTCTGCCATTGACGTGGCCATGGCATCTTTTTTCATTAGGCCTGAATGTGGTTTTCCACTCCCTCTGGATCAAGACTAGGGTTTTATCCACCCCTTTTCTTATCTTGTCACCTTTTGTATTGAATTTCAATATCTTTCAGTCTAAGAGAGAAATATGAATCTATGGAAACACTTGGGACATACAGGGAGTAAAATGTAGGCCCAACCCACAGCGGCTGGTGAATTTCTTTTCTAGTCCAGAGCATGAAATATAATCACTTTTTTTTTTAAACGTTTCTTAAAAGGGACCTCTAGAAAGTAAAAAGCATTAGCTTTCTATTTATGGCACATAATCATCTTTGTTTTGATAAAAAATGTCTTATTTTAAAAAGATTTGAAGTAACACTTTACAATCTATGCCGTCTGTTTTTTTGTGGATGAAGATGCTTTTAGATTTCTGGAAGCTTTTTAGTCTCCAGACATACATATTGGAATGTAAAGTGGTTATACTTTTCCCAAGATGACATTTCTTTAATCATAATAGTCAAAACAAAAATTCTGAGCTTTTGGCTTCTGGTTGAAGATTAAGGGTTGGATGAAGAACCGGTAGACGCTGGCCATGGAGCAGGCAGGCAGTCACTGGAGAGGAACACGAATCAATTCCAGACGGACTGCAGATCGAACTGCGAAAGAGAACAGAGCTTTCAGAATATAGGTAACTATTTCATAACTTTAGAGCAGGCCAAGATTTTTTTAAAACAGGACACAAAAAGGAAAAAGAATGAAGGAAAAAGAAAGGACTATATTAAGATCAAGAATTTTTATTCACCAAAAGACACCATGAAGAGAATGAAAAAGTAAGTGAAAAGATATTTACCATAGATATATTCCACTAAGGACTCATATTCAGAATATATAAAGAACTCTTATAAACCAATAAGGAAGAAGAAACATAATAAAAAAATAGGCAAAATACTTGAATAGGAACTTCTGAAAGAGGATATCTAAAAAAACAACAAATGTGTGAAAGTTTGCTCAACATGATTAGTCATAGGAAAATGCCAATGAAAACCACAATGAAATGTTAGTACCTATACACCAAAATGACTAAATGAAACACAAAAAAAATCAAAATGGGTGAGGATATAGAATAACTAGTTACGCTCACACACTGTTCATGCGAGCACAGATTGGTAATTTGGAAACCACTTAGAAAACTGTTTAGTGCTATCAACTGAAATGCTGCACCGACCTAGAAATTTCAACCCTAGGTAGGTATACACACCCAACAGATGATCCACTGTAATAGTTAAATGAAGAGTAAGTAGGGAGAAAAGAAACACAGACAGAAAGTGTAGACTCCTCTTTCGAAGAGTTTGGGTATTCAGGTGGGAGACATGGGCTAGCAAGAGAGGAATTCTAGGCTGAGGTAGGTTTTTGTAAGAGAGAAATGCTCGAGAGATAGAGGTTAAAAATATAAGAGAGATTTGAATTAGTTTAAGGGATAAATTCACACATTAGAAAAGATTTTAAGTTAAAAAAAACACATTTTCCCTCCTAGATTTAGGAAGAAATATGAGAATGAATGTAGACGCAGGTAAGCTATATGTGGGTAAGTGTGTGCTGAGGGAGTTTTCTATGGATAAATTCTATTTTCTTGGTGAAGTAAGATGCTAGTTAATTTGATAAGCAAGATGGACAAGGGTTAAGTTGGGGGGCTGTAAAAAGTGGCAAAGTTTTGTAATAGCTACTGTGGGGGAATGGGTGAGAGAGGTGATCAAAGAAGGTCATTTGGTAAGAGTCATTCAGGACGCAGTTGCTGTGGGAGAACATACGCTTGCAGTGTCATCAACTTACATGCCTACTCAGCAGCCAAGCGTATGACAGGGAGGAGTTAAAGTGAGGTGAGATATTTTGGCAAAAGGAGTTGAAGCGATGCTTTATGGAAACCAGGTTGGATAAGAAAAGATGAGAAGTAATGAGAGAGATGACAGACTGGTGGAAAAGAGAACAGCTGAGAACTCAAGGTCTTGATGGCATGTAATAACAAGAAAGAAGACTGGACCTGAGGAATGAGCTGGCTAGTAGGGATGGTAGTTTGGGTCAGAAATAGGCATTTTGGCCTTTGTTTTCCCAGGATGATAAGGTCCAGGGTATGGCTGTGACAACAGGTGAAGTGGGGGTATCTCCGTAAGTTCAAGAGATGGAGGGACTTTGCAGCCAGACTGTTAGCTAAGGTCATTCTCTTGGACACTGAGACCTGCAGGATGATGACAGGGAGAGGACAGGAGAAAAAGATCAGGAGAAAGATATAAAAGTTCTCGGTTGAATTAGGGGTGGTGACCAAGTGATCTGTAAAGAGGGTGCAAGAAAGGGTCAAAGGTGACAGAAGTAGGAAGCATGAGTTTCAGAGGAGGGAGTATTTTTACATATGAGTAAAGGAGGGAAGTCTTGAAGAGGTGTAGGGAAAAGGAATAATGCAGAACCTAACGCCGATCATGTGGAAGGAAGACTTGCAGGAAAGAGAAGAAGCTGAACTTGAGAGGGTCCTTGTCCCCAAGAATTCTCCACAGGGACTCCATAATCATGGCAGCATTCATCACAAAAGGGAGGCAATTCATTTCTAAGAATAGGTTGCTAGGGTGCAGTTCACAGAGCAGCGGGCAAGAAAAACAGTAACGAAGGAAGGATCACCCCAGACTGTAAGCTCCTTGAAGACAGGGACCGTGCTGTATCGACCTCTGCCCTCCTGTGGCGCTTAGCACCAACAGTTTCATGGTGCACCTGCAGGTGTGTGTGTGTGTGTATACACACATGTGAGTGGGTGTAAATATGTATGTATATATGGTCTCAAATATATATATGATCTCATTGGAATTTCTAAACAGCAGACAAATTGCCTAAGTATTGTACCCCTTTAGAGGTATGGAAACTGAGGCTTAACTAGGTTAAGTGTCTTGTCTGAGTTTGGAGGGAGGGGTAGGGCCAGGATTTGAACGTGGGTCTTCTGACTCTTCCAGGGTAAAAGCACTGAAAATTGTCAAATGCATAAATTCAGAAGAAATATATCGCTTTAGTGGGTTATATTTTATGTGGAATAGGACCTTGATTTTTTTGATAGCATGCATTGCAATATAGTTTAAAATAGCCTTAAAATGAAAAGAAAAAAAAAGAACCACAACAAAAAAACAAAACCCATCAGCCCACTTTTTTTTCTCTTCTAGGTGTCTCTGTGGATATTTGCACTTGACTGGGAGGAAGTGAAAGAAATCAGTTTCCCCTTGACCTACCATAAATTTACTGACCTGAGGATGCTATAAATTGGTATGAACACTTAAACCATACTAAGATCATTAGAAATTAATAGGACCACTTTGCCTCTTTCCGACATGCAGAAATGGATCTGTATTAATCACAGTGATATTAATAAAAGGAAAGGTGCCCTCTTTTGCGCACGTCCTATACAAATGGCTTCACTTTTAAAGGAAATGAAATGCGTGACTCAGAGAACCCGGAGTGCATGGTGTTCAGTTCCGAATATTCTGTGAACTGGTTCACAAGCTGCTGGAGCAGCGAAGCCTGCAAGCCCGTTCACTGACATTCCAGTTCAATCTCTTTCCTGAATCTACTGCAGACTTTATTGCCACTTAGAAACCCTGACATTCTGCAAATTGTACAGCGAACCCTTAATGATTTCTGAAACAAGAATGAGGTAATCTTCACAGCAATTTTAAATATTCCAGAGGTCAAGGGGGCATTTATGGTTTCCTTTATCACAGACTGAATTGACTTTTTCAGTTAATCATTTAAGCAACAAATTACGTATATTACGTACATTATCACATAGGGCTCTGGTTTCTGTGCGCCTTCTCCTAGGTGCTTTGGGTATTTCTGGGTGAGGCAGGAAAGTCAGACCAGATGGCCTGGATTATTATTGGAAGCAGAGCATTGATTCATGCGTGCCTTTCTTCTTTTACCCTTCCTCCACTCTGTCTTCAGTTCTATCAGCAAAACCAGTAATTGGCTCTCTGGAAAAAAAGGGAAATTGGCTCTCTGGGAATGGCTGCCTGAGTAAAGGAAAAGGTGCTCCTTGTGCTTTCACCGACCATATGTGTGTTTTGTTCCAGGCTCAGATTGAAAATGTTACTTTTGTCCATAGTGTGATGGAGGTGCTGATAACGAGAAGGGGATATGAATGTACTTTTGTGGCTTAGAATTTCGGTGTAAGCCTCTCCAAGACAGACGCTTGGATTGGTTAGGTGTTTTTTCTTTTTTCCTGACAACATCTTTATGACTAGAAAGTGTTAATTAGGTCATTTTGGTTTTTGTAAAATGTTTGAAGGCAAAAGTAAGATGCCTGCACGTCTCGGGGGCACCCGGTGATTGTGAGAGGGCCTGGGTTTTTCAGACTATTGTCACTACAAGGAAAGGACTTTGCTCCGTGAGGTGAGCATCCATGTCCACACACCAATTTGGGGCTGAATGTGCAGCTTCAGGAGTTGCTTTCAGAACCCCATTTCCAAACACTGCAAATGCTTTTACTTACAAAACTTGTAAATACTGCTCATAAGGGAAGGGTTGTCGAAAGCCTATCAGAGTCAGAGGTGGGATTCTGAGCTTGCCGCAGGTGGAAGGTCACTGTCTTAGGACACTGTTTGCTAAGGTTTCTCTGCTAGAGTGAGGAAGGAGGGATGCAGTGTTGGGGCGGGGGGCGGGGTGGGGTTCCTTCTTAACTATGCTCCACTGGTTTAACCTCACCAGCCAAGTGAAATGGAAATTTCAAGAAAACATACATGAAAGCAAATCCCCAACTCTCTGGGGTCTGAATTTAATTTGAATAATTAAGAAAAAGGACTTAAGGTGGGAGGACAATACTGTAGAAAATACCCAAGCAATTGCCTCCCCTCCCTTCTCCACTTTGCTTTCTTAATAGAAAGCTGACTTGCGAGGGTTCTTTCAAGACCTCCCCTACTTTGAGCCTCCTCTCTCACCCCCAGACTGGGGTTCTTTTTGAACTGTGAGCCATCTGTGCGTGTAGGAGCCATCGTGCCATCTCGAGATGGTAGTGACAAACCAAACTTCCTCTCCCCTCAATCTGAGAACACTTCATAGCTGAATAGCTCTGCGAGGTTACATGTTATTTTCTTCCCTGGTTGGTACCATTTGCTATAAAGAGGCCATGAAGGCAGCAATTATTATGGGTCACGGCTGCTGATTGTGGCCACTCTCGATAGAATCAACCAACTCCCCACATTAGAATGAGTTTATCTCCCTGGAGAATCTGCCTATACCGGGGCAGCCATATGTGTTGTTTCAAATCGTCAAGGCTCCAAGCCACTCATTCACATTTGTCTGATCTGAAAGCAGGCCTCTCTGAGGAGTAGGTGGTGGCTGCGGGGGACATATTTGCATTTCTGACCTGCTGCATGCCTTTGCTGAATGAAATTCATATAATTACTACACACCATGACTTCCTCTAGAGTTGTATCCGTTCTGGGTGGCTTTTTTTCTTCCTCCACTTCATCAGCATCCAATTAATTAACAGTTGCCATGGCGACTGTTGCCATGACAGCATTCTCCCTAAGGGCTTCTCATTCATATTCTAATGAAATACATGCATTTCACTGGGTGGATGGAAAAACTGGTAAGGAGAATTCAAGAAGAATGGAGGATGAAAAAGGTAAGGGATGCTTTGTCTCAAAGTCCTGCCCTCTGTAGCTTCTGCCTCAGCCTGCCTTACCTTAGGAAGAGTATGTTTATTTTTCTTTATTATTTTTCCTAATTTCTAAGTTTTTCCTATTTTTTTCCCATTTCTAATGCCTGGTTTTTCCTGAGATCAGGAAAAATATATGTATTATTGGGTAAAATGGGCTTTACCTGCCTTGGGGCCACGTTCTTCTCTCCTCCCTTTTTTAGTTCACAAGGTGAGGGGCACATTGACTTTCTTCTGTTGTTTAGTCTGACAGGCCTGCCGGGGAAGTTTCTAACGGATTCATCGCAGGTCAAATAAAGAAAGTGGAGCTTTGCCAGTTACAGCCATTGGCAGCTTCCACCTCTCAAAAGAAGACAGCATCTGCCACCTGCCCACATATGATTTCCCAGAAAGCAACAGTTCCAACGAGATTTCTTAACTGCCCTTGCAAATCTGACCACTGATTATGCATCTCTGCCTGATGTCTAGGTATACTCATTCACTCCTTCAGAAAGGTCTAAAAATCTCCAAAACTCCATGACCTTCGCCCACTACTTACCTCTAATAGGAGTGCCTCATATTCTGGGCAGAGGCCCTCAGCACCTCTGCTGTAGTTCAGCTCAGGTCCCACCACCTTGCTTGCTTTCCTGCCTCCAGGCCCTACCTCCTCAAAGACATTCTTGACACAGCTGTCTATTTCTAAAGCACAGTTTTTACTGTAACCTTCAACCGTTCTCAGCTCTTCAAAAGGTCCCATTGTCTTTAGCAATGGTCTTCAAACTTTAGTGTGCATCAGAATCCCTTGTGACACACGCAGATCCCTGGGCATCCCTCCTAAGATTATGATTCAGTAAGTCCCTGCAGAGCTCAGGGATCCGTTTCTCTAATACTCTAGCTTATTTAACGTAGACGATCCATGGGCCCATCTAGAGAAACACTAGCCCAAAGGGGAAGCCCGAATTCTTAGCCTGGCATACAAAGCCCACAACAATTTGATGCCAATCTATTTCTGCCTTTGTAACTTCTCTTCTAGTTATGGTTCTTTCTTAGATCTTCCACCCCTGTGCCAGGGGCTCTAACCATATCAGATTTTTCATTCTTCTCCATGCATGCTACACACAACTCAAGCTCCAAGCCTTTGCTCAAACTCTTCCTTTGTCTGCAATGACCTTGTTCTTGAAGGGGATCAGAATATGCTGCCCCAAAATATACCACTGTGGCATAAGATTATTTTGAGCTGAAGGCAATGAAGAAACAGCAGATACAGAAGGAACTGTCTGCCTTCTCCCTTGCTGCCTAAAAGCAGGGCATAAATTTCCCCTTGTGAAGGTGGCCCCCTCCCCTCTTCCATCTGAGGAAGAAGAGTATGACTCTTAATCACCAGAGATGCCTGGACTCTTACACTGAAGACAAGTAGGATTTGGTAATATTTTATTTAAATTTAATTTTTAAGGTTGAATTTAAAATTTTAGTATGATTTAGTAAGGTTTGTTATTCAGACTTGAGTCTTACTTACAAATCTTATTGAATAACCCTTATCTTCCATTAGTTTCCTCATATATTTACCTTCCCACAATTTACTGCCCCTAGAAGCTCAAACCCCCTTTTTTTGGTCTTGTTATTTCTCCAAAATTTATTGCCCTTTGTTAAAATGGTATATAAGCTCACAGGCCAAACTGCTTCTTGGGGTTTCACTTCTTTTCTGAGAGGCCCCTCCATGTGCATAGGAAACTTTTTGTCTTGTTACTTTGTCTTTTGTTAGTTTAATTCACAGGCCCAAGCCACGAAACAGAAGAGGGTAGAGGAAAAGTTTCTCCTCCCCTACACTGTCTGTGATCCTGGTCAGACTCCTCAGTCCAATGTCACCTCCTTCTTGAAGCCTCTTAGTCTCTTCCAGAGAGAATCACTCTTTCTTCATGTCCCATAGCACTTTATGAGGCTTATGCTTGTACTTACCACATTTTATTTTCATTCTGTCTCTAAGGGTTGTATTCCTTGCTCCTTGAAGTTTCCTGCTGATGAAAGAAAATAATTACTTAGCATCTACTAAGTACTGTGCATGGTGCCAGTTAACTATTCTCACCATAAACTGCTTTTTAATCAACAACAAAAACAAATAATAATATGACTACCTGAGTTGAGTCCTTCATTCCAGGCAGTGTGCCAAGGAATATAAATACGTTATCATTTAATATTCACAGCAACCTTATGCAACTGCTATTACGATTCTCTTTTACCAGTAAGTAAAGAACAATAGCTTACTCAAAGTTGATAGCTAGTTAACAGCACCGTTAGGATTTATCCAGATTAACCTGACTCCAGAGCCTGCGTCTGGGTTATTGAATTGTTTTTTTTTGAGGAAGATCGGCCCTGAGCTAACATCCACAGCCAATCCTCCTCTCTTTTGCTGAGGAAGACTGGCCCTGAGCGAACCTCCGTGCCTATCTTCCTCTACTTTGTATGTGGGACGTCTGCCACAGCATGGCTTGCCAAGTGCTGCATACGTCTGCACTGGGGATCCGAACGGGCAAACCCCGGGCCGCCGAAGTGGAATGTGCAAACTTTACTGCTGTGCCACTGGGCCGGCCCCATCTGGGTCATTGAATTTTAAGGTGGGGAAACTTGAAGGAGGGTACCCAGCTAGACGGCAGGAAAGCCAGGCCAGTGGGGTTCCAAAGCTTGGTGACAGCTACCTTTCACCCTTTGAACCTTCAGCTCCTCAAGTGGTTCATTCAATTGAAGTAAGCCTGTCAGGTATTAACATGATTCTTATTTTGAGACTGAGAGAAGCGATTTATCCAGGGTAGCACAGTTAGAAAGAGGCTGAGCAGAAACTCTAACAGATGCTCACACACTAAAGTGAAATTTCCACCAAGTCACAGAAACCTTCTCAATACTGTGGGCACTTGGATGAACTTGGATTCTGATCACCGTCTGTCACATAGTTGCAAGGGAAAAACACATCCTGGGGTTGTTTTCTGGACCATTATAGTGAACCTGTAGAGCCTGGGCTACGGGGGCCTGTGAACAGGCACGCGCCTCATGGAGCTGCTCTGTTGCTGTGCCCATCACCAGCAGCACTGGACTCCGGATGCAAGCAGGTCTCTGCAAAGTAGTTATGGTCTTTGGCATCAGGAGATTTCAGTCAAACCTTTGACTGCGTCCAAAAAAGGATATTTGGGAGAGGATTCAACAGCACCCAGCAGCTGATGAGGAAAGGAGATGTTTTCTCACCTAATTTTCACAAAACAGTTCTGCAACCTCACCTTCAAACCCCTTGCCAAACACAGCTCTGCCTGCAGAGGAATTAAAAAAAAAATTAACCCCATATGTTCTGCTTAGGAAAGCAGCTGAGTGACAGCTTAGAGCCAGCGTCTGATACACCAGGCACTTCCTGATGAAGGCTCTGATGATTTTTTTAAATTTAATAAGCCAAGGCTCCATCTGTCTACCAAGCATCTGAAGTCAGCAAGGCCTCAGATCATTGGTGCCCAAGCTGGCTTTTGTCTCCGGCCCCATGGCAATGCTACTAGCTGCATCCAGCCAGAGCTATTAGCCTGCGTCTGGAGCTTTGTTCTGCCTGGGTTTCTGGGGGATGGGGAGCCGTCGGCTCTTTCCCAAGGTAAAGCCTGTGTTGGGAGGTCACTGGTTGCTGACGAGAGAAAGGGCCCCTGTGCAGGTAATGGACCTTTATCGATTTCCGCCTTGTCCCGCTGTATCACCCCAGTGCACCTGCTGCTGGCCGCCAACACTGATAACGCACGCTGTTCAGACCGGAGGGAGGGGAAGATGTCGGGAACAATTCATCTCCGGCATGATTCATCAGGTCCCTGTTTCCTAACCTACTCCTGCACTGCCCCCGCCCCTCGTCCCCCAACGTTATCAGCAGGACTAGCAGGGTGTCAGATTTTGAAGAGTTGGAGGTCAGAGGGCGAAATTATTAACCTCTGCGTCAATTCTAACAAAGGCAGCAAGCCACCTGGATATTTAGTCACTGGAAATGAAATCAATTTGGGTTTTAAAATCTAATTTACATATAGCTGGGATGATAAATCAATGACCCATTGCTAGGTAACTCACTTTTCTGTAATTAGGGGGAGAACTTCTGTCCTCATTATTATCTGGGTAGTTTGGAGATTCAGAAATTATTCCAGAGCTGTTAGCCTCCCAAGAAAGGGAATGTGGTGTAATGGCTTTGAAAAATTTAACTCTCACTGCAGCTCGGATGTGAAACGGAAATGTAATTTCTATATTTTGTTTGTAGCCGTTTTAGTTTAATTCATGATTCCCCCCTTCCCACCCCACAGTGGAAAAAAATAACTAAATGTCTAATTTGGTTTGAGCGAAAGTCTGATTTGAGCATTTAAACAGAGTCTTCAAAGAATGCTCAGTCTTTCCAGGAAAAAATGCTTTAAATCTCAGACTGCCTCCATCCTCCTACTGCTTCTCTTCCTAAAATGGCAGCTGGTGTTCGCAGGCATCCTGCATGTGGGGGAGGGGCTGTGGCTCTTACGACGTCACCACGTCACTGGGGAAGACAGGAGCGGGGCCTCTGTTACGGGGTTGTCGTCTCAGGTGGCTGCCGTTTGTACCGGTTCCTGCCTGCTTCAGGCATCATGCCTGAGTGTGGTTGGTGTAACCTGGCCTGGTTGAGGGATTGTCCCTTGGCCAACCTCTGACCCCCGGTGGTTGTGGTGTCGGACATAGGCCCCTGAAAGGCCCCTGGCTCTCAACTCATCATCAGTGCCAGGCTGGAAGTGAAGGTTGCTCGGAAAAGTGGAACCTGAGAGCCCTTTGTGATTTCTCCTTGTTGCATGGCCACGAGGTTGTGCATGTGGCCTAGGGTGGCCTAGGTGGCCTGAGGGTTCTTCTTTTTCCAGGAATCTGTGTGGGAGCAGGGGGTGCACCTCCTACTCTAAGTTTCACTTATTCAATGCCAAAGCTCAGAGAGGGGATATGGGGACGTGGGGCTAAC